GTCCCTAAACTTTTAGAGTTGTGTCAACTAGGTTCCTAGTCCTACACTTTTGTTGTGTTAACAGGTTCTTGTATTTAAAAAATATCATGTTGGTCCTTAAACTTTGTGTCAGAAATCCTCCATGGAACGGCTCTCAATGCATCACCTAAAGGTTCCTAATCTATTAGACATTTTTTTAGATTCATGAACTTATCAAGTACCAAATTGAAAGGTTAGCGACTTATTAGACACAAAATATGATGGAACATTGTGTCTAATAGGTGCCTAAATTTTTAAAAAAAAATGTCCAATAGGTGTGACCTATTACACACAAAATTAAAAGTTAAAAAACCTTTCAATAATTTTATTAGACACAACCTTAAAAACTTAGGGACGTATTAACCACTTTTTAAACTTCTGGAACCTATTAAACACAAAACCAAAAGTTCAAGGACCAAACTCGTCATTTAACCAAAAATATTATCATAATGGGGAAGCAAGCAATTTCTGTCAAAGTAAGAGACCACTATCATAAAGCAAAAAGTGGCATAACCGAACCGCCTAGTAACCACTAGTATAAATCTTGAGGGGGTCATTATTATTCTCTTGCTTGCGAATGCAGATGACTAAAAGTCAGATGTGAAATCAGCAATCCTTATAGGAACTTATAGGACTTAAGGGCAACAGCCTATATATTCCAGAGTATAGAAGCCTCACTTGGTAATAGTCCCATCAACATCAGAAATCACAATTCGGGCATTCCATTTCCACAGATAAATATGAGCATCGACCTGTTAAAAAGAATTTTAGTCGCATCATATAAAAAATATGATAAAGTGGTTATCGTGTACATATAAAATACTGAGTCTAGACTGAAACCTTTTGCGTCCCGAGAACCCTGGTTGAAAAAGTAAAAGCTATCATGTTTTGGCCCTCTTTCAGATTCAAAGACGCTATCTGCTCAGTCGTTGGAACATTTGTCCTCACAAGTTGCCTCTTAGAAGACTCATTCCCGCCATTCTGCAACCTTGGACTTTGTTCGGCTTGTGAGCTCTGTAAAGTACATTCAGAATCGACAAAAATCTCCTCATTTGATGAGTTGCTGTTACTGTGATCGAGCGTTTTAACCCTTCTAAATGGATTTGGCCAGAGCCTCCATCTTCGGCTGGAGGAAGTGGCAGAGATAGGAGATTCGTTCAATGAGTCATCCTGTTCCACAGAAATTGTGTCTTTGGGATCCACTTCTAAATCAATTCCAAATGCAGCCATGCCCAATACGATAGGAGCAGCCTTCACCCACGACATGTACCTTTCTCCAATTTTGATAATTAGATTGTCATTTTTAATAATCGACGAAGCCGACTTTTCAAATTCCTCTGCCGATACACGATGCGCGTCAAAGGCTTCTGCTGCAGCAAGCAAGCCCATACCAGCACGAAGTTCATTACCACAAAGCGAGATTTCAAACCCTGCATAAATTTGAAGTAATTAGAGAATATACAATCTGATCTGTGTCAAAATACAGTACAAGATTTGAGATCAAATTTCAATGAAAAGATACTTGTTAAATGAGGTTGTATTCTTGCACAAAAATCATCAGCTGGAGATTCCTCTAACTTTCTAGACTCATCATCAGCAAAAGGCCCTTGAGAATCACTGTCCACTTTTTCAACTCCCTTGATCGTGTCAAATTGTTCGTTGTTCAAAGGATCATTATTAGTAACAGAAACAGCACATTTGTTGTCTGAAGCGGCTTGTTCTTCACCAGACACGTTTTCCTCGGTTTCACCAGCTTTAACAAGTAGATCTGGCACCACATTGACATCAGAGCTATCAGAATCACTACCTAAATGTGTTCCATTTGTATCTCTGGAATCAACAATACTCCCATTGGTATCAGAGACTGGTGGAACAATCTCGTTCAATTTACCCTCTAAATATTGAGCCTCCAACGAAGAGACGACATTTTCGGAATCAGTGTCTCCAACCAGTTTGGCCAATTCCGATAGTTCCAAACAGCTCTTAAAAATCTCCTTCTCAATTATAACACGGACATCTTCTGAATCACTCTCCACAAGAAGATCATTTTCCTGATGTTCAGTGCCCAAGGATCCTTCAGCTTGAGAGACATGTCTTACCTCCACTTCAGAAACCTCTAGCTTATGCCCAGAATCATTAGACTCGTTGCTCAAACGACCAACTTTATCAGATGTAGCCTTATCTGTAGATGTATTCAGCTGATTCATATAATCAGCTGCCCAGACATCTTCACCTGCAAATTCATTGTCTTCACAAAATTCTGTCCCTTCACCAGGCCCCAAATGAAACTGAGGTGTACTTAACTGCAAATCTTCTGAATTTTGTTCAGTTGCCAATATCGGAGCAGTCAGTACATGGCCATCCACACTAACTAGGATAACCTCCGAATCTGTAGCCTGTGACTCAGCACAACTCTCATTTTCTAAATTATCACATCGATTAGACTCACTCTCTGACAACTCAACCAAATCCTCCACAGAAGACTGGTCATCCTGAAAATCATAGAATCTGTGCTCAACATCAGATTCTGCCCTCTCCATTCGTGCTACCGCCAAAGAATTGCTTTCATCTCGCAGCTGAACAACACTAGAATCTGAGATACTATGCTCTAGTCTACCTGTTAGAATGAAATTTTTATTGATCACACCATCCTTAACCATATCATCTGTAACTCCATCAGCCTGAGTTTCGACTTCCCTAATGAAATAGGCCTCGCCAGAGTTATCAAGATACATATGGAAATTCGATTCCACGCCATTGACAGATATGTGGACGATCTTCTCAGCACCCTTTAGAACGCCCTGAAACTTACCAAACCGAACATACCAAGGCGTACTCCGAAAGGTCCCATCCTGCTGCTGAACAACAATTATATCGACTGCCCCACCGAACGGATGAAATGGTGTGGCAACCGAGTAAACTCCTTGAGAAATGAGACTCCCAACTCTGCCAACTACATTCATCTGTCCGAGTGCTTAATTTCCTCTCCAATTTGTGAAAAATATCAATCAGAAATTCACTTTGACTTATCTCTTTCCTTACAACCAAACCTGGCATAATTTATATCCTCCAGCACTTGTGAGATAAATTTAATATTTTACAACTTGAATCCTTTTCAATCTTCGGTTATAACCACCATCTACAGAGAAATTTTACTACGTTAAATTCAAGAAGAACAATGACAAAAACCATTCTGAAGGCAACAGAGATAGAGTAAATTCAAACCCTAAAAAGCCACCATTTCTTTTTAATGAAACTGGGGAAGCAAAAAGATTAAAAAAAAAAATTCCAGCCATGATTCCAATCTAATCACAAACAGCAGAATGAACAAGACAATCAGAATCCAACAATTAAATTCTTTGGCATGAATTCCCCAGAAACAAAGCCAAACCCGAAGCTAATTTCGCGTAGGATACGAAATTTTAAGGTGAATCATTAATCGCATTGAATTATGGAAACTCAAAATTTTCCTACACGTGCTAAAGGGGGAGTTCTGGCACACACGCATTTACAGATGAAAAGAAAATCCCAGCAAAATCAATAGTGATCATAAAGATTATGAGGAAAAGAAATTGCCGCCAATTCCACCGCTCGAAGGTAAAAGAAGAACATACATTTTTTCAATCTTTTCTGCGTTTTTCTTCTGTTGGCAACGAAAAATTTAGGGAATGTTGAGGTTTCTGCAAGTGGGTCGGAAATTTAATGTCGTAAATTTTCTTGGAGGCATTCAAAGAATCACTTGGACGACAAAGAAATAAGAAATAAGAAATAAGAAGAAAAGAAAGAAAAAAACCAGAATGAGATATCTCCTCCATGGACAACCATAAGCATTACATAGGTAAAGGGGAGATGGAATTACGAAAATGGCCTCTTGGAGAGGGAAATTGCCGATCTGATCCGGGGTTTTGAGGCATTTGGATTGTGGGTTTGATCTGAAATGAAGGGGTGTTTTGGAGATTAAGAAAGATTTCGTGTCTGATAAATGTTTTCCCGGCGTGGAACCAGACAACAACAAACCTCGTGGAAGTCGTGTATTGAATTCATGTCATTTCATTTTTGTTTAAAATAAAAATATTTATTAAAAAAATAACTCTTTTTTTTTCTTTTTATTGTTTCCAAAATGGCATCCGCGTCTGCCAAATCCCCTGTTCTTGGTCCCAACATGTGTTCAAACCTGAAAAATGTGCCTAATTTTTACTCTATGCTTTTCTTTTTTATGAGGATTTTGCAAACAACAAATTTTGATAATTAATGTCTGTATTTTTTAGTTAGTTTTCTTTTGTGACATTTAATCTAGTAATTATTTTAATGTCAATACAATCAAGTTTTCATTAAAAATGACAAATGAACAGGTCGGGGCCACTCCCGTCTCCATGGGAATTTTTCTTCCATCCTTACAATTTCTAGACGGAGATGAAGACATGGTTTGGGATTCTCTAAACAGGGATATGTTCTTTGCGCAGGCTCGTCCATGATATGATGAGATTCCCCTTTTATTATTTATTTTTTTAGAATATACTTTTTAAAAAATATTTTATTTTTTTTTTTTTGAAATATTGTAATATAATATAATAAATATTTGTACACATATTTATATTATTAATTTTATTATATATAATAATTATTTAAATATTAAATGAGGCACGGTTGAGGCCGGGGTGGGGATACCCTTCCCCATCTCTTCCTAGACCCATATTAAAATTTTTGATTTAATCCCGTACTCGAATCAAACAAAAAATTCTTCGATCTAATCAAATCACATATCTATAGGGACCAAGTCCCACATTTTTTTTTTGTAATCCCTAATCTTCACCTAAAATCTACGGGTGTATTTTTTAAATAATACATAAATATAAAACAAATAAGTACAAATATCTTAAACATTAAATTCCACTCATGTTGGCCAATAATTGATGTTAACTTGTTGGCTTGACTTAAACAACACAGTCAATTCAATGCAATCATGCAACAAATTGACATTGTTTTTTCTTTTTTATTCTCTCTTTTTCGGAACTAGTCCATAGGAACTTTGCTCAATAAATAATTCATCAATAATATTTGGATTCAAATTCTCACCATCACAATTATAATGTTGCTATCTTACTCTAAAGAAGCACATATATTTTTATATAATGACAGTGAGAGATTTGAATATTAAATAAATACCTAATTGAATTTTGTACTTGAACCATAGGAGTGCAAGAGGTCGATTCAACTGACAACTACATAAATTGCAATTAATCTATTGTCGATTTCGACTTACCCAAATTGAGTAAAAAACCCACCTAACCAATTAATTTTTTTTTCTTAATTTCTCACCCCTCCCAGCAACACATGCCATGACATGACTCATCCCCTTCATTTAAAATTAAATCCAAGTCACCAGCCAACCCATTTTGAAAATCAAGTAAACCATTATATAAACATGATTTCCATACAAACCGACCCAAACCTGCGCAGAATATCCAAACTGGTTAAATCATCAAACCGAACCGACACACCATCGATTTATCAACTTGGTTCGTTTCAACAGTGGGTTGCCCGATAGTTTGGTTTTTTTTTCCTAGTAAATCCTTCATTTGTTGTCACTTCGACTTCGTTTTTGTTTGATTTGAGCCAAACCAATTATCCCCTTGCTATTTTGTTGTTCTCTTTTCATAATCTTGATTGTTAAAGTTATACTGTGCATTTTATTTTTTCTCAAATTAATGTAAAACTCTTAATAGTATTTTGTGAAGGTATTGGGCCTGGTTTATTGGGCTAAGAGAGAATACAGTAATTGTTTTGGGCTGCCCAACCTTGTCCATGAAATACCCGAACGAAACCACCCGAAACCTTGTCCACGATGGTTCATTGGGACCGTTGGTAGGCCTGAACAAAGTTGGGCCTTATCTCAGTTTCATGGGCTTGGGCCTAATAACTGGGCTTATTATCTACGAAATGTTGTAAACTTTGACGGATATACCCTAATAACAGCAGTATTAAAAAAAAGTGACGCCATAAATAAAAACAAACATTTTAAAAGTAGTCCGTTAACTTATTTATAGAGAAAATACATGCAAAGTTTCATCATTTGTATTTCTAAAGTATGTTTAATTGTATTTATCAAGATATTCAACCTTCATGATTGTACTCACAAAGGATGAATGGAGCCATATAATAGATTATTTCGAATATGACATAAAATATCCATATAATATAACTTTTCTATGTATAACATTTCTCTTTATTTATTTAACTAAAAAAATTATTGAAAAATCAAGATAATCAAGATAATCATTATATATCTTTTTTTTCCAAATAAAATAACCAACTTTCTACCTCCTCTTCTTATTATTAGCTATAATATTTTATTCATTTAAAAATATATTTATTATATATATAAAAAAAATTGAAAATTATAACCATTATATATATATATATATATATACACACATTTTTTGGGAGATAATATATACATACTTATTATTATTATTTATTTATAAATATAATAATAATAATAAGATAATCTTATTTTAAACTTTCTACTTTCCTATTTTTGTTTGAAAATTTTTATTTATCTAATTATTAGTTATTAAATCATAAACTAAAAAAAATTTATTAAAAAAAATTATTATTATTATTTTAATCGAAAGCTAACAATAATAATATCAAAACAAAAACAAATGAATATGATAAATCTTGAACACAAGTCTACGGGCATCAAGCACTTACCCAATACACCAACATATAATTTCATTATTGGTGTTTTATTTTGTATCATATAATATTATAATGATTTGTGTGCGTTTTTTTTAACGGCTTCAAAATGTCCACCGAATTCGTAGTCTCGACCACGTTTTGATTTAAAAAAAAAAAGTCAAAATCAGATGTGGCGTCGAATGAATGACATGTCTAAAAGTCGTCTATTGATCTAATGACTATTCACAGGTCCGAGACCAACTATCTTTCAAACATTATTATTGGAATATTTTTTAGAATAATTTTTAACATAACAATATTAACAAAAAAAAATCCAACTTCTTCTTACTCATATTAAACACAAAATTCATTTTCAATACATTCATTTTGAAAATATGAATTTATTATATAGATCTAAATTTGAAACTAAACTAAATTTGCTTTTTATTTATTTATTTATTTTTATCATTGGCCGTGCTGTTTTTAATGGGAGAGGGAGGCATTTGGAATATAATGGAAGAATTCAAATAAAAATATTGAATGGGAACATAAAAGAAAAAAAAAAGTACCGTTGGTTTTAACAAAGTAATGATTAGTGTGTGATATATAGGGGACAATATCTGGAAAGTGGAACAAACAATAAATAAGGAAATTTTTAAATAAAAATGTAATTATGTAATGTAATGGAAGAATTTGATAATGGCGCGTGTGCGTGGACGTGGAGGGACGGGAGGAAGCGATTTTCCGTTATTTTTTTAAAAATTTTTTGAAATTGCCAAAACAAATTTCATTAATGATTTTCCGTTTGACGTCACTGTCAAAACTCAAAAATCTGAAAATATCTGAAAAAGTACCGTTGTGAACTGTGATCTCTCTTTCTATTTATTCTTCTTCTTGGCCAACACTCCAATTACTTCCTTCCAAAGCCATTTCTGATCAAAGCTTCAAATCGAGGAGGTTTTTTTTTTCAGGTTCCGATCCACCACCACCAGGTACGTAGAGCTTCTTGTATTGGAAAATGGCAATGACAATATTGCCATTGCAGCATCTTCTGTTCTGTTCTTCAACCTCGCATGCACTGCGAAAATACACAATCTCCGGCCCTCTTCTGTTCCGTGCTTGTTTGCTTGCGCTTCCATTCATTCTATTGCTCTATTATTGTAATGTAATGCTGTGGCTCAAGGATTAATCCATCGAGATTCTGTAACTTTCTGTGGACAATCATCAGGGCGATAATGTCTGGTCTCCGCCGTCCGCGTTCTACGGAATGCGTCGAAGATTTCGATAACCAGAGTGCAGTCCGGCGGCCACGACCGGCGATTAAGGTAAATCTTTTCGGATCCATGTTTTCGCTGGAATCATCGCCAATTTACTTTCTCTGTTTTATAATTGCTTCGATTTCTGATTTCTGCTCGGGCGGCGGCGATTATAAAGCTACTCCAAGCAAGTGTAGAAACGGGAATGTTTCGATCGCATAGTTTCCTTGCATTTTTACTAGTTCTGTTCATTTCTTCGACTTAAATTCGCTTTGAAATCATGCATTAACGTCTCGATTACTTCGTATGTTCGTATGTTTCTAACAGATATGGTCCCTTAATCATGTCCCAGATGGGGAAGCAGGCCTGAAATAGCGTGTTTCAGAATCTTTGATGGTTCGCTGAAGGTATATTCGGACGATGTTCACTGTCACTTGTTTCTTCTTGTCTGTTTGGCAACTTCCCTCCTACTTATTAACGATTTTCTCAGGTTTGGAATTTGAGCCAAATGAAAAAACCTCTCAAGGTGTTTGATAGTCTCCCATTAACTATGCCCAAACAAATAGTCCTGATGAGCAAATCAGGTACAGTTTCTTTTACTTTTTTCTATCTCACATGATCCAAAACACATAAAATATGCATATTAAAAACCTTGTTATGAAGAAGCATGGAAGAGCGAGCAGGCCATGACTGAACGTATCAATCTATTCTGGACATAAGATGTGGGAGATATAGACGCTTTTGGGACTTTTAAGCATACTATATGATGTCAGTTTGATGTTAATAGGGTGTTGTATTATTTATTTTAAAGTCTTCTATGGCATATGTAGCAGAGTTAGATTTTGTCCGTTTAAGAAGCCATGGATAAGAGAAATGACACGAGACAGACATGGAACAAAAACAAAAAACTCCTTCCAGATATATGACAAAGTTAGATTTTGACAAATACCTTCTTCATTTAGAAGCTAGGTATGTTTCTGTGCTGCAATTTTATAATTCGAGCAATATATCTAATCTATGGATAAGGTATCCATTTGTTTGCTTCTTTTATCTAATTTAATTGAACTTTGTAAAACTAGATTGAATTGAAAGCATTGGCTGAAGAAATGCAAGCAGTGAGTATATAGGTCCTGATAAACTGGAGCAAGAGCTAACTGCTTCAAAAACGTCCATATTAGTTTCAACCTATCAGAGTAGCTGAAAGCCAGCTTTCCTTCTCACAGGCCATCCTCCCTTGAGACAGGTGAGCTCAATGACATGGAGCATCATATTGTATACCATGCATTTTCTGTAAGTTTCATTTTATTTTGTTGAGTAATTCACATCCTTAGAATATGATGCTCAATGACATGGAGCATCATATTGTATACCATGCATTTTCTGTAAGTTTCATTTTATTTTGTTGAGTAATTCACATCCTTAGAAGAATTTGATTTTATAAGTATAATTTATTTCCTCTTTGAGACTACAGATTGTATACAATGCATTTTCTGCAAGTTCCATTTTTATTTTGTTGAGTAATTCACATCCGTAGAAGAATTTGAATTATAAGTATAATTTATTTCCTCTTTGAGACTACAGATTGTATACAATGCATTTTCTGTAAGTTCCATTTTTATTTTGTTGAGTAATTCACATCCTTGAAAAAATTTGATTTATAAGTATAATTTGTTTCCTCTTTGAGACTACATATCAAAGTTTTCGACTCCCTTTGCACTTGAACTCGTATTTTTTAACTGAATGCCCATTTACATAGATCATCATATTGTAAACAATCTGTATTCTTCTAAAAAAGCTCTAGTATTTGAGAGGCTGTTCTTTCCAGGGTCTCACATTCTGTGACTTGTGATTGACCTCTCAGATGGCTTTTTCATGTTCATACAAAGACATATTTGGATTGTGCAATCCTTAGAGATGTAAGTGCTATCTTTTCCTCAAAACAGAACTTGATCATTTTGTTTGTCTGGTATTCATATTGGTAAGAGAATTCAAGTTGACTATATAGTTTTCATTGTAACACTAGGACTGTTGGGTATTTATAGCCAACCTAACGAATGCAATTCAGCGAATAATTGCTAAATTTATTTCAGGAAATGGAAATGTCGGCTGATGTGCTTACCGCATGTTTGCTTTTGAGGTTGCTGACCCATATCTTTATCTGATAAAATTTCCCTTCGTCAGGTTAGCATAAATGTTCTCAGTTCAGTATATTGGTGTGGATTGGAATAATTTGCTGGTAAACACAAGTTTAATGATCTGTATTTTTTTGTGCCTATCAGCTGGATGATCGAACCTGATCATGTTTCAAATGATTCTGTGCTGATACACAAACCTCTTTGGGCTACATTCATGGATACAGCTATTTGTTCAATTCTGCCCCTAGTTTTCCATTATTATTTTTATTATTATTATACTTTCTAACTTTAATATTATTTTCAATCTTTTTCTTAAATTTAACACCAACAATTTTTTTAATCACTTTCTAAATTTATAAATTTTCACTTTTAAAATGGTCTCTCTCAATTTTTTTTTCTAGTTCTAAAATTTTAACACATTTTAAGGTTTTTCCTCTTTATTAATTTTTTTTTTAATTTACAACTTTCTTTATCTCACTTTTTCAAATTTTCCCATCTCTCATTTATTTTCGTACTTTTAAACATATTTTTTCCTATCTCTATATCTTTCTCTCGTTTTCTATACGCAATATTTTAATCTCTTACCTAACTTTTCTCTCTGTAATTGGTCTGTAAACCTTTTTAACTACTTTTTTCTCTCCAAAATATCTTTTATCTATAAAGTTTTTTACCATCTTATTTATAACTTATCTCAAAAAAAAATTTCTCTCTCTCTTTTTTTTTTCTAATCTAAGTTTTTTTTCCTCTATCTATTTATGAATTTTTTCTCTCTTAAATTTTTTTCTAACATTCTTCCTCTCTTTGAAAAATCTTCTCACCTATTTAACTTTCTTGTATTTATCGTTTTTATCTCTAAAAATGCCATTTTCTTACCTCGTACTTGTCCGGAGAGTTAATTTTCTTACCTTAAACTTATTTCATCAAATTAAGACTAAAACTTGAGAAATTATATAACATCAACAAAAAAAATAAAAAATAAAAAGAAGAAGATAAAGAAAACACTCAAAATAAAACAACAAAAATGTCCAAACCCAACATTGAAAACACTATAACCTAGCAACAAAATCAAGTAGGTGAAAAACATCACTTTTTCAAGTATTGAGTTCTTTGATGAAATTAAAGGTTTAAGTTTAAATTTCATTGAGTCACCCAGTCAAGTACAGGGGTAAAAAGAAAAAAGTATTTTTTTAAAAAGTATTTCTATTTCACCCTAAAACATTTTCTCACTTTTTAATTATTTATTGTCTAGTTTTTTTCCTTTGCATTTAGAACAATTCTCTCTCATTTTTTAACTTTTTTATGTAAACCTTTTTTTCTCTCTAACTTTTTTCTCTTCAACTTCTTTTTTGGGGGGACATCATTTTCTTACCTCTTACTTGATGGGTGAATTGATTTTTTCCTTAAACTTATTTCATCAAATTAAGACTTAAACTTGAAAAACTATTTAAATTGAACCAAAAAAAAAACACTCAAAATCAAACTACAAAAATGTCAAAACCCGACATTGAAAATACTATAACTTAGCAACAAAATCACAGAGGTAAAAAACACTAATTTTTCAAGTTTTAAGTTATTTGATGAAATTAAAGGTTTAAGTTTAAATTAAATTGACTCTCTCGGTCAAATACAAGGGTAAAAAAATTATTATTTTCCCACCTCTTTCTACTTCTAGATTTTTCCACTCAACTTTATTTTCTATCTTTCACTTTTTAAACCTAGTTTCTCTTCCTTAAATAATCTTTACTTCTAATTTTTTTGTTCATTCTAAAATTTTTGTCCCCTCTTTTTTCTTTCTAAATTCTTTCATTTTTTACTTTTTCTCTAAAATTCCCTTTTTCATAGTTTTTAACTATTCCTTATTTCTCTTGAAATTTTTGTTTCTTTTCCCTCTTAAATTTCTCCCCCCTTAACCTTTCTTTCTAAATTTTTTCTTTTTCTTTTTTGTTTTTTCTTAGCTCTAAAATTTTCAT